GTGTACAAAGTCATTTTCAAAGACAAGATGCTCCAGAGTGCTGTAGGTGCTAAAGAGTACTGAAAAGAGATGCTGAGAAAGAGTACAAAAAAGAAAACTGCAGTCCAGTACCAATGAAGAGAATGATGCTAAAGAATCACATGAAGAATTAACATCCAACACCATATTAAGAATAAAATATATTGTGCTCAAGTGGGATATATTTACACAATTTAAGATTGATTCTTCATAAGGAAATCCATTAATATAATACTCTATATAATAGTTTAAAGAGAAAGAAAACATTATCTCTAAATGCTGAAAAAGTCTTCATTAATATTCAGGTTTTTTTAAGAGTAGGAAAATTTTAGTGAGGTAATAAAGCTTCTGTCTAATATTCAATATTTTTAATATTTGGGGGAAGATACAAGCAGGGGAATAATCCTTGATTTTGAGTATCTCCATACTAATTTCAATGGTGGTTGCATCAGTCTACACTCCCACGCATGGAAAAGAAGGTTTCCTTTTTCCCCCACAACCCTGCCAGCATTTGTTATTGGTTAATTTATTGATAGCAGCCATTCTTTCTGGAGTGAGGTGGAATCTCAGTATTGTTTTCATTTATATCTCTCGAATGACTAATGATGTTGAACATTTTTTCATATGTTTATTTGCTGTTCCTACTGCTTTGAGAAATGTCTGTTCATTTCAGATGGCCCAATTGGGTCTTTAAATTTGGGAGGTCTGATTTTTAAAATTTTTTACAGAGATATATGTGCACCCATGTTCATAGTGGCATGGTTTATAATAGCTAAAACTTGGAAACTGCCCAATTGCCCATCAACTGGCGACTACATAAAGAAGATGTGGTTTTTTTTAAATAAAATGGAGTACTACTCAGCCATAAACAATGAGAAACTAGAGACATTTACAGCTAAATGGATGCACATTGAGGCCATACTCAAGTGAAATAAATAGGACACACATGTGTAAATACTGAATAGTTTCTCTAGTGTGAGAAACTGAAAATGTAAATAAGGATCAAAATGCATAATAGATAATGAGTGAGAAACTAAATGTAAATAAGGATCAAAATGCATAATAGATAATGTGAAATAGGAAGAAAAGGTGAAAAGGGGAAACATCAGGGAAACAAAAGAAGGGAAAGGAATAAATATGAAAAAAGGAGAAAACAGAAATAAATTCTTTATAAATAGGGAGTAAAGGGGTTGGATTGGTTAGAATTCCTAATATGGAACTCAAACTAAATACCAAAATAGAGGAGATGTGTTGAATAAACCATGGTATATTTACACAATTGAGCACTATGTAGCAATAAAAACCTAAGGGATATATATATGTTGGTGTTTTGTTTCTGTTTTTGTTTTTGTTTTTGGTACCGGGGATTGAACTAGGGTCCTTGTGCTTGCAAGGCAGGCCACCGAACTGCTGAGCTAAATCCTCGGCCAAGGGATATTTCTATAAGCTAACGTGAAATGATTTCTGGGATTTATTATGTAAGAAGTCAACTATAAAAGAATTGCACCTTTCATGTAAGAAATAAAGACAAGTAAGAAACTGTACAAGTATATTCCTATCTAGAAAGTATAAACCAGAAATGAATGAAATACACTACCTACAATGGCTTACAGAAGAATAGAGTGGAAAGAACAGGAAAACAGAAACTGAGGCAGAGAAGAGGATAGTTCTGAATGTGCCTTTCTGTGTTTTTTTAACAATCCTATATTGCTATGACAACACTAAAAATCAAATATGTCAGACCCAACTCTCTCATATCATAAAATTACTACTTAGCATGATGTCTACGTCTTAGTTTTAAGACTCCTGAATGATTACCTTTTTTTTTTTTTTTTCTGGCACTGGGGGTTGAACTCAGGACCTTGCTCTTGCCAGGTGTGCGAGGTGCCACGGAGCTACATCCCCAAGCTGATTATCTTTTTAATTAAATAAATTATCTGAGACTCTACTATGTAGAAACTAATATTTAGGTGCAATAAAGACTTTAAATTGGGAAAGGATACTATAATTACACTCAAGAACTTTACTCTCTAATCAATATTTTACATGGAAAGCAAACTAAAATATTACAGACATAAACAAAGTTGGAAGAAAAGCCAAAAAAAGGAAAACCTCAAACTAAATATGAAACTCTATAATATGAAACAGTTTCATATATATATCTTAATTTCATTCCAGTTCCCTTACAATTTTATGTGTTGACTTTTCAAAATTAAATAATACAAGTTAAAATTACAGATATAGACATATTAGAATCATTAAAACAATGGAGAATATAAACCAAATGAAATGCAAAGAGAATTGTCTGTGTGGGAGGAAATCCACAACTCAGAGGAGAAATTTTGTAAACCCTAAGAGAGGGCAAAAAAGGTAATATTCTAATAAGTCACCGAACACTTGATCTAATAAAAGACAAGCAACCTTGCTTATCAGTTGAACGCTTCTACAGATACGAAGCCCCTCAAGACTTTGTTTTTAGGACTTCCTGAAATTCAAGAAGCAGTCAATGTCTTCATGGTCTAACCCCTAGGAGTAGGGTTCTCTGTTACTTGGAGTTGAGAGCAATTCTAACTTAAACACTCTAGTAAGCAGATCAGACATGATTGTTTCAGACACCTTAACAATGCAACTCTATTAACCTAAATAATCTCATCTCTTCATTTCCAGAGGGGGGAAAAGTAACCTGAAAACAATGTACAAGCAAAACAACACACAAATAAAATAAGGCAAATAAACACATTCTGTATTTGAAGAAACTAGGTACCCTGTCACTTCACTCATACTCAGTGAATTTCAAATCTGACAAAGAAAAAAGTATCGGAAAAACTGGATCCAAAAGAAAATGAAAAATAATGGAAACAAAGTCTTTGTAAATAGGGAGGGGGAGGGAAGAGTTAAAGGGAGGACAGGGGAATGGGGAAAAAATAAGAACCAAGATTGATTATGTAAAGTTACAAATTTCCAACAGTGAATGTCATTATATTATATACCTTAAATGTACCAATAAAATTAATTTTTTTTAAAAAAAGATCCCAAAGACCCTATGGTTTGAACTGACAATGGACAGATGAGTTTGGAGGTCAAATAAAGTCCAGCCATCTGTTTAAAAATTGGCTAAAACATAGGTCACATATCCAGGACAATAGCTACAAAGGAAGAAAAGCCAATGTTTGATGAAGTTATAAGAGAAAACGCGCAACAATATCTGGATCCGATTTTATATGTAATAAAAGGCTATGAAAATAGCTATTTATATTATCTTTTATAATATCCTGTCTTACTCTCCCAATTCTAGGGAATTTCAGTCTGGAAAATAAGACTGATTTTTGTGTGTGTGTGTGTTATTAGAATCCTTGCTTTTACTTTTATATTTTAGCATTTAAATTCTTAATCCAAATATGTTAGGTAATAATAAAATACTTGATGATTGTCTAAAACTTAAGGAAAATGCTTAAAATGAGACTAAATTGTTGCTGTTCTTGTTGCCAATTACATATTGTCCCAGAGTTTTAAAATTACTAATATGCATCTAAAACTTTTTGATCCATGTTGTATGGAATAAAAGTCCAAGCTTTGTAAAAATTATAAATTCAAAAGGAAATTTGAATGGAAGGTAATGAAGCAAAAGGAGAAGTAATATGATAGTTGCTGTGTTAATATAAATCTTATTTTAGTTGGACAGAAATTAAGGAAAACCTACATAAAATCCAGTGCAACACATCTATGTTTTAATTGCCAGTTTACATGGCTCATTATTTCTTCAGTGGAGATGGATGACTGGCATTTACAGGGTCATGTGAGAAGGAAAAGGCCACTTACCTTGCCTGTGCGGGTCTCAAAATATGCTGATGTCATCAATGTTTGAAAAAACAAAGCAGTTTTTAGGGTACTTAGGCAAGTAGTTTTTGATTTCATGAAAGCGTACACATAAGCCATAGAGACTACTGACTGGCCTTCTGGTCTGGTTGGCCTTGTTGGCAAAGATCCTGCTTAGATATTCTGTTTTTCTCAGTGTCCGTGTAGACATGAGTTCTTATTCTCATTTTCTTTCACATCATTAATTCTTCAGTGCTTTTCACATAACTGGAAGGCAGTGTAACTCTAAGAATTTTAGTTTCCTTTTTTCTATGTCTCATAATTTCCTTTTTCTATCCAATTCCAGGCAGTCGTCAAGTATTTTTCTCTCTTCTTGGTATTTACCTAACCTTTGGTCTTGTAAATAACGTAATGCCATAAAATAAAGCCTCTACTAACCCACAGCACAGCTGTCCAAGAAGTTTATGGACTCATAACTCAATTTGCAGTGAGAGAGTAAGCAAAAGGAGAATTAACCGGGGAATTCCAAGTCTAGTATGCAGTGCCTTTGTATGTTTATTTTAGAGTCACTTCTGAGTTTTGACCATGATTAGAAACAGCAAATTTCAAATTCTGATATTTTGAAGAAACAAAATACAGTGAAAGTGACTGCAACGTGCCTGCCTGATGCTGAAAGGGACAAAGAGTGATATAGAACTGAGCCCCAAGACTTCCCACCAATTGGTACAAATTAAGTACCACTTGTTACTGAGCAGGCAATAAAACCACAAAATATTATAACTGGAAAGGATTCTAGACATCTAGTCACGTGTCCTTCCCATTGTAGAAATTTCTCCCACAACATTCCCTTTTGGAAGCAAGTTAGTCACCGCATGAACACAAGGGCTGCCTCCCTGGAAGCCTATTCCATTCTGTAATAGATATCTCCTTAAAAAGCCAACAGTTGCTTCTTTGTATCTTCAATTTACTGATTCTACTTTATTCATTTATCCAGGAGGTACAGAATAACTTCTCTCCGCAGTAGTTACTTTCCATAAAGATAAACCACATCTGCCCTTTATCTATCTGCAGACACAAGCTCATGAAGAAGAATAACAATGAAGTACCACTTTGCCTTCCTTTCCCCTGCTTCCCTTTCTGTCGTCCCAAGCCTGGGTATTATTTACCTGAATCACCCCTCCCAAGAAGGAGACTGCCGCAGCAACGCCGATCCTTTGTGCTTCAAATTCGGACAAGCCCAGCAGACTTGAGTTGCTGTGCTTGGTGAGGTTCTGGCTGCTTTGAGGGACCAGCCGTTCCACAGCATTGGCTGATATCAAAGATGTCAAGGCGAAGGTGCCTAAAATTCAGAGTGTGGAGAATCTGCTGTTAATAACTTAACAATAAAAATTGTTGGCCTCTACCGCTGACATTAAAGGAACATTGCAAAGTTAAGCAGATCTATTAGAAACACTCTCCTCTGTTCCCCCAATTCTCTACTTTTCACCCTATTGCATGAAAGAGCAGATACCCGCCTGAACACACATTCATTCTAATTTCAGCCATATGTGTCACCAGATGTGTCTTACCGGGCATTCATTTTCCTACCTCTCTGCAGACTGGCATAAAAACTTTTTCAAGGCCAGGGTTAACACTGTGGTCCAGATTTAAATCCAACCCCTCAATCTACCAATTACTTAAAGTTCATTTAAAGTACCCTGGGTCTAAATTGCTTCATCCATTAGATATTGATAATCATATCTGTTTCAGGGTTTGGGGCCAATGTAAAGGGGACAAATTTGAATACCTCAATGAGCTTAGTGACTACATATAAACTCTGGCTGAGATGTTTGCTCCTCCAAACTACCTGTGCAACCCTTACTTTTCTTTAAAGGTCTGGCTCTAACTCCACTGCAGTTGTTGCAGATCAGGCTTAAATCTTTCTATCTGCCGTGTTCTCATAATCAGTGTACCTTTATTAGAGTATAATGTGTTGTAGCTCATAAAATGGTTATTTATGCCATTTCTGTCCACTATTTTTAAGTAAGATTCAACAATTTTTCCTGAAAGTTGTCCTGGCCTCATCCATATATATGGGGGGCCATGTTCTGTGTGTTCCCCTCTTCTTGCCAAAAGTTGCAATGTCTTTCTTAGCACAGCATGCCTGAGAATGGATATGAATATAGAAATTCTGATTCCCACAGAGAAGGTCAGCACACTCAGGTTAAAGAAACATATAGCAAAAAAAGAAAAAGAAAAAAAGAAAGAAATGCACAGCAGCATTATGCAAACATTTCCCCTGACTCATTGCTTAAAACCTTATTTTGCTACAAGTCACAAGTGAAACTTTATGGAAAAAAAGTGTCTGTGCAAGGTACAGACAACCCAACACAAAGAACGCAACAATGCAGGGCAAGATAGACAAGATTCCCACAGCAACGGGCCTCAGTGGAAACCGGACTCACACAATCCTCTTGTCTTACAAAATATGAGGGGCAGGATATAATGCAGATTCGAAACAATGCAATAACTGTAGATTTCAATGCACATGGCATTAAAACCCAGAACTACCACCTTTATCTCATCTGTGAAAATATACCACTCCTCACCCAAGGGACTGATATGAGATGAATGAGATTAAATATAGTATCTGTCATGGAGTTAGTATCTAATGTTAGCACCTATAAATACTACCTATTTAGATAAATCTGAGTAAAATTAAGTTCAGAATGTTCTGTTATGGTGTGTAATCTATGTTCTTCTCTGAGAGTTGATAGTATATAAGCACAGAAAGTTGAGCATTGTTCTCTTAGTAAATTAGGTCATTTTCAATAAGTCATCAATGCATATTAACCATCACCGTCACTGTCTTACTCATAAAGAACTAAAGAATACATCAAAGAACTATTATCTGATGATTAGAGACAAGATTTTGGTGACCAGCTGGACAACACTGGAAAGGGACATTCACCATAGAATCTCATCTTGATAAGACATTTTTCAGGGTATGTTACAATGGAATCGTTCTGAGATCAAATCATATACTCCTGAGAGTAAAGAAATTTATCTTTTAGTCTTTAAGTCTCCTAGAGAACCTGGGGAAAATATTTTTACAGAAGGCACTGAAAAAAATGACTGTAGAATTGAAAATAAAGACATAACTGAGTTAATTTCTAGCTTAAAAGTACTTTTTTGGTATTTGAAGAAAAATAAAAGGAAATTGGATGGTAGGAGAGAAAATTGAGGAGCTGGAGTTGCTATGAAGATATGGGGGAGATATTGTTTCTCTATCTTGCAAGTCTCACCTTTGTCTTTATCTCCACCCTATTACTTCTCTATTCTTTCCCTCATTTTACCAGCTTTTTACCCTGGTTGAGCTTTACGCCTATGGGTAGAACCCTTAAATGTCAACAGCCCATTGTAGGTTAATATTACTGTGGGTCTAAGTATCTAACAGGAAGTGAATATGGAACCAGAATTAGATCCAAGTTCAAGTCCCAGATCTGCTGCCTGTGGTCTTTCTCAACTTACCTAGCTTCTCTCACCTTCCTTATTTTTAAATGATGATAAAAAGTTTCAAAATTCCAGTGCAGACTAAATTAGGTTTCATATATAAAAAGATTTATCATCAGTCCTACTGGATTGTAGGCCTTCAGTAAATAGATGTCAACTTATTTTCATTTCTTCTAAAAAGCATCCAATACAGTCTTCCTAGCTTTTCTGTAAATTTCTGACAGACTTGGCTCTTTCAAAAATGGTTTTAATTTGGCAGCTGAATAAATCGTACAAATTGTCACATATTTGCTATATTCAACAATTCCCATTCCATTGGACTTATATCCATGTCTAGTAATTTTATTTTTGCTTTTTTCTATTCTTGTCATAAGAAATAGTCAAAAATTTATTCCTTTTTCGAAACGTTTATATTTTAACTTAAAATAAGAAAATTCACATTGTTGATCAAAAGAGTACATTTGATGTCTTTGTATCCTGGCTTTATGAATTACTTGCTTTTTAAAAAGATGCTCCTAGTATAATTTGTTGTTGCCTTTGGTAATTCAGTGTTGTGTTCTGAACACCTAGGCTAGAAGGAAAACCCAGATAAAGTAACATGAAAGCAACGTTAGTAAAGTGGAAGTGGGAATGCTCCTCCTATCAGATATACTAAAAATAAAATAAAATAATTTGAGAGAAATATGTTTATAAATTAGATATTTATTTAGAGGAAACTTTGGTAAAATTCAATTAGTCAGTATTCTAAAATCATAGGAAGGTCAAAAAATAGTTACTGTAACTCCTCTGGCATATTTATTGTTCCATGAGGATAAAGGATCACATCTTTCTTTTTGATTATAAATATTTCTAAATATTGGGTTAAAAATTAAATAAGAAGGACCAGCTGGCTCTGTGAAGTACAAATATAAAAATAAAATGCTATTAGAATTTATTATGCCATAGAGTTACTACAGTTAAGTTGATATTGCCAGTTAAGTTGATAAATTACATGGATTTTGAATTACCTGTTATTTACCTAAAAGGCCCAAATTTCCTATAGCTGTTAATAATTTATTAAATCCTTGCTAATTACACAATCATATAAATGGTAATTTCAAAACTATTCAACCAGTAAAACACTTACAAGTAATTACCTAGAAAGTAAAATGGTTGATGTAAGTATATATTTAGGTATTATCAAGTTGTATATTTTCATCTTCCTAATGTAATTATGGTTTATGAAGCAAATTTGTTTCACACTTTCTTCTATCTTAGGTTAAAGAGAGAAAATGCTTGTGGGGTCAGCTATAAATAACCAGCTATTTCTTGTTAAGAACATATGTAAATGTTTTGAAAAGTGAAAATCAATTTAGAAAATTACGATGCATGATAATTCAAAAAATAATAAGCCCTTAAGAATTTCTAATTTATCATTGTGCTCATCTTCTTTTTCACTAATACAAAAGAACAGCTCATTCTAGAGTACCTAGCTGTCAAGAAATAAAAAGCTTAGACTTTAGATTTGGTTGTGTTTGTGTTGGAAACCATGCACCTGTGACTAGCATGAGCTCTTACAAGAAACTTTCTGAATTTGGATTGTGGTTTTTCTTTTTCATATAAAATATATGGATAATAATGTTTATTGCAAAGCATTAAGTTAGGGTAAAATAACATGTAAAGCCCTCAATATATGTTTAATGGATGGTATATGCACAGTTTTGAAAGTTAAATATATATTATATGCATATTACACATGCATGCATGTAATATATACCTGTATAATAATATAACATTTATTTTATATAGGTACACATTTCTTAATCACTAGGATACATTCTGAGAAATGCACTGTAGGCAAGTTTGCTGTTATGCAAACATCATACTATAATTACTCAAACTAAGATAGCTATGACATCACTAGGAAACGACCTTATGGGACTATTATCTATGCTGTTTGTTGTTGACTGAAATTCTTTCATGTAGCTCATGATTCTTGTGTGCGTGTGTGTGTGTAAAACATATAAAAGATGAAGAACTTGTGGGAATGCTAATTCTAATTCAGGAACTCTGAAATGAAAACCAAGATTTTGCCTTTCCAACTAGCTTTCCCATAATGCTGACTCATGGAGGATATTTTAGATCACAGTGTTTTAAATAACTTAATCATTGATCCTTCCTCATGATAAAGTCAACTGATATAAAAAGCTCAATTTACATAAATAAAGCATTATCTTATGGGAAACTTTATGTGGCAGGCGAAAGAATAGACCCCTAAATATGTCTACATCCCAGTCTCTAGGGCCTTCGAATGTTTTCTTTTCCATAGCAAAGGGAAATTATTGCTGCAGATGGAATTAAATTTCTTAGTGAGCTGATCTTAAAATAAGGAGACTATCCTGGATTACTCAGATATATCCAGCATAATTACAAGAACCTTTAAATATAGAAGTTGTAGGTAAAAGATCAGAGTCAGAAGAGATTTGAAGATGCCAACTACTGCCCTTGAAGATGGTCAAGAGTGCCATAACCAAAGGAATGCAGCAAGCCTCCAGAAGATAGGAAAGTATAAAAATGGTTTCTCCCCTAATCTCTAGAAAGGAATGCCCCACTGACAATTTAGTTTTAGCCCTGTAACCTCTGGAACCATGCAGAAGCTTTTTATTGTCTTGAGGCACTAAACTTGGGTGATTTGTTGCAGCAGCAACAGGAAACTAACACAATTAATCATAACTGACCACTGAAGAAACATCACAAAATAGTAACGCTTGGAGGGTGAGATCTTACATGAATAAAATAAATAGAAATGCACCTGTAGATATTTTCACTTAAAATGATTTTATTAATAATATTTAAGATTAATGTATTACTTTTATAATAATACTAGCTAAATTGATTAAATCTTCTTAGAAAGTAAGTACTAAATTAAGCACTATGCATCACTTTCCTAGTTCTCACTAGAATTCTATGAAAGTTAAAGGTTCATCTTACTATCAAGAAAGTGGCATTTAGAACTAGATTTACAACTTTGCCAGAGCCATGCAGGTAGCTAATAACAAATGAGACTTATGCCCAGATTTAAATAAAACAAAGTCCAGCCTAATCTATTCTCAGAACAAGCATGACTGCTCACATATTATTTGATCACACAGAGCAAGGTAAGATTAGAATAGAAATTAAAGGGTATTGCAGATCATTTAGTCCAACTATCAAATATATGTAAAATATTCTTCAATATTTGAGTAACTAAACGTTATAATTTATTTTGTTTTCTTTCAAGAGTTTACATTGTCTTATCTCATTAAAAATTCAGAACATTCTCCTTTCTTTCATGGTCTTTTTGCAACTTAATATAAATAATACATAGCAAAAAACCTTGATTACATAATAATTTTGCAACAAATCATAGTGGGTATTGACTGTCTGAAACACAGAACTATCTAGCCTTAACATATGCTGAGGTTTTCAATAGTGACACTGCTTTTGAGATGCAATCAGCAGCTAAGGATCACTCTGACTCCCTTTTATCAGTAAAGTGAGAAGCATAAACACAGTCAGGAATTATTACCTGTGGCAACATGACGTCCCATTCCAAATATGGCATAAATGATGGCAGGAAACAGAGACCCGTATAAACCAAAAACGGGGTGTACAGATGAAAGAATAGCAAAAGCCAATCCTATGAAGAAAAGCAAGGTAATTAGGGTCATCAAATGACATCAAATTATAATCCATTATATAATGGATTATAATTATAACATAATATATAATATATAATATAATTATATAATAGAGGGGTTTTTACTTTATTTAAAGCCAAAATGAAATATAATTACTCTACTCAGTCAACAAACATATAGCATTATTGTCCTAAGTAGAAGAAAAATCACTCATTAATTAATACATATATATATTTCAGTTCCCAAAACCTTTATTTTTGGGCTACTCCTCTCTTGATGGCAGAGATGTCTTTAAGAAAACAGTGGTTTGGTAAAATGTAGGGGTGATAGTACTGTAGCAAAACATTTACAGACATACTTAGATTTTAGGAGCATTTCACTTGATGGCAGATGTCTTTAAGAAAACAGTGGTTTGGTAAAATGTAGGGGTGATAGTACTGTAGCAAAACATTTACAGACATACTTAGATTTTAGGAGCATTTCCACATTTTGTATTGTATTTGCATAGTAGCGGTTGTGAGACAGGCAGAAATAGTAGCTTTACCACTGACAGATGAGAAGCCTGATGCGGAATGGGTCTAGTACTAAAAACAAAAGCGTGTATACTCAAAGTTGGCTGATTGGCTGACTGATCAACCTAAGATTGTGTGTTCTAGTAGCAGGGCAAAGGATGAGCCTGTTTTTTTTGTCTGGACCCTAGTCTATATGTCAGGTATAGTTTCTTAGAGTGGAAAATAAATCAACTTTGCTTATCCAATGAGTGAGGAATAGCTCATAACTGTTAATTTTTATTCCTCATAGATACTACTGTCTATATACCTTATGTGCATGCACATAAAAAACTTTCCTCAACATGTCTAAATGACCACAGGTAGTTTAAATGTGACCAAATATAAATTCGTACAAGTTCATTGAAAGCATGTTGTCTGTAGCTGGTCCTTGGCATTAAGCAACTACTATGCTAGGTTCTGATAAATCCATTGAAGCCTATGAAGTTAATATTGGGTATTTGCTTGGACATAAATGACATTACAAGTTATAAGGAGACTCGAGGAAGGAGGTCTCGAGGAGAATCCGGTGTGCCTGAGTACAAGGCCTGGTCATCCTCTTTCTCACTGGGGAGCCTGGAAGTCTGGCTCTAATACCATTTATTTTTACTGCTGAACTTTTACCATTTTAAAGTACATTTAATTGAATCTTTAAAATAACCTTTGTAATTATACACTAAATATTTTCCAAGTAGTATAAGATGTTACCTATGATTAAAATATATGAAAATTCTAGTAATGACTATTTACTTCTCTAAAAACTGTCTGGATTGCTTGCATATTAGTAATGAATTCCTAAAGCCTGGTTAAAATTTAGAAGTGATGACAGAAGAACCAGTGGCAGAGACTGCTCAGATTTCATACAGGTGTAGTAAGAGGCAGTGATCTGTGGAGAGTATCAAGAGGCAGATGTTGAAGCCGAGTTACCATTGGAAGACTAAATATCCCTTACCCTTACCAAGCACCACATCTTGGCATTTGTAGTGTAACTTTGTAAAAAATACTGAATTTATATTAATTATATAGAAAGGTACAAAATAGGTTTTGCCCTTCTATTCTTTTCATCATCCTATTTTAACGAATAAAAATTATATATCAAGCGATGGAAATGCAGCTCTTTCCATGTAAGAAAAAATTTGGCCCACATTTTACAAGGTTATCCACATCTACTAAATTACTCATGAGAGGAAGGGAAAGGGCATGAGGCATATTTAACAAAAGAACCCTGGATAACATCAAATGGATGCTAAATTCTGGGACGCGAGGCCCATGGACATGAAGACTGCCAGAGGTGGGTGTGTTTGGCTGTATTTCTACACTACCGCAACCAGCAAAAGCTAATGCAAATATGAAACAGTCAGGTCTTTCCCCTCTGTCTTGAGAATAGCTGCCTGTTAGTTTGCCTGCTTTTTACAGTAATGCTCATTCTGTAACACTTATTCAATAACACCCTATTATACATTCCATAACAAAACTAGTTTAAAAACTAAGTTTTTCTGAGTCTCATATACATACATATATAAATTTAGAGTGTGAATAATCAGGAAAACATATTGAACTCAAATTTTTCTAAAAACATCTCTAGATCTACATATCAAATGCAAATGTTGTAGTAGACTCTGCAAGAACAACCCCAAAGGCCAAAGTCATGTGTGGTATTTCCTTTATTCCATAAGACACTAATACCGCACTTTCGTTTTAAGCAACATTCTCATTAATTCTTAGTGGGAATTTATTTCTCTACTAATAAGGCAATAAACTATGACCGAACTGAAGGAAGAATGAATCAATTCAGAAATACAGTTCTTTCTTTATTATTTTTAAATTTTTATGAGCACATGTTCACAATACATAATGATTACACTCATGTGGGGAGTTGGTACATGAACATAATGCACCCCAATCCTTCCCCTCTCTTCACACCCCCACCCTTCACCTCTAGATCCCTTTCCCATTTGGGAAAGCTTTATCTCCCTCATTCCTATCATTCATCCTTTAGTTTTCTCTTTATATTATTATACATTGTCTTTCTCATGTAAGAGAAACCATGCAATATTTATGCTTGCGTCTGGAGACGTCATATTACAGCAATATGTGCATACCTAGGTTTATAGCAGCACAACTCATAATAAATAAATCTTGGAAGTAACATAT